TCAAACATATCGTACTTGCAGACGGAAGAGTCTTATCACTTCAACAAATTACTAAGTCTTTAAAATACTGCGGATGCGAGACGACGTGTACCTGTCGTGAGGAGTAAAAGCTCGTATCGTCGAACTAGTGATAAAAATTGCTTATCACCATTCAGAATTACTTTTATCACGGCAATAATGAAAACAGCACACGATTCATGTTGAGTCTTTACTGTAGTCGAATAACATGAGTCAAACTCAAGTGATTTCCGTTCATGAATAATCAGTGAATTACTAATGCCTATTGGGTCAAACATGTGTTTCCGTTACAAGTAGGGCAGTCATACTGTCTCATAACGTAAGTTTCCGTGCTTTCGCCGNCCGGCAATCTGTACACAGGAACGGAGGATTAGTGATGAAATAAAGCTGTGTTGTCTTTAACGGTCTGATTTCTATTGAATTTGCATGTGTTCAGTTCATTTTTGAGTTCTACGTTCATTTTTAGATTCACCTCACCCTATTGTCTCATTCTGATGCAATTACGTGATAAGAAAGCAACTCTTTGCTTCCGGAAAACAACATGTCAATAGCAGTTCCGATCAGTAAGATCTGGCAATATCAGATTACCTAAATGTTCATGTTTCATCGATTATTCCATAATCTGTTACATTTAGCAAGTTGAAGGTAGCCTCCAGGTTCCGAACAGGCATGATTTTATTATACTGTTGAGAGATTGTCCATTCACGAGAAATTCACCATTCACGATAAATTATTTGCATTTGTGTTCGTCTGTTATTATTTCATTTGAATTTTGCTGATGCAGGCACACCACTTGCGGGCATCATCACGGTCACAATACAGTGCTCATTCAAATATCCCTGTCAATCTTTATTTATTTATTTAATCAGCAAATCAAACTCATTACGAGTTTATGCCTCTCTGTTATTACCAATATCACTAATATCACATTCTTCCTTCCTTGGCGTTCTTCTTTCCGCGCAGCTAACGATAATAGCGTTTGGAATCATCTGTCTTCATGAAATCCGAACTTGAATTATTGATTTGGCAAGTACAGAGGTATTTGGCAAGTACTTGTACAGAGGTAAAAGTACAATATCCCTGTCACTTTCTCATAAATAATCCCCAGCTCTAGAAACAGTTATCCGGTTTCTAATTGTGCAAATCCAACTTCCAATCGTTCAAATGAATCGCTCGCACACAGCGTGCTTCTTCGCCACAAGCGAACTTTCCGAATCGCAAGCAATCAAAAGTGGCGAACGTTCCATAGGCATCTTTGATAACGTGCAATATTTCTTAAATTAAATGTGAAAATTTGTGAGCAGTATGTGGTAATTTCCGGATGTTTATGATTTTCTCCGTGTATATTTCCGTTTTATTCGATTCACAGTACCTCACGCGATGATTTCACCGGGTCAATCGTAAATTGTTTTAGCAACCCATTCAGCACTCATGATTACTCTGCCCAACGCTACAAACATGTTCCATTGATATGAACTTTTAATTTATCGCCTAAACCCGTGAGATATTTTAGCAACCTATTCAGCCCTTAGATTTACAATTAGAACAATAAGCTTTCGTATGAAATTTATACTTTTTCGAAGTAATGAAGCGTTGTTACGTAATCACGAATCGTATTTAATCACAAATTCTTATTTCAGGGTGGGTTATAACCTTAACGAATTGATCAACGAGGATGTTGTCATCTCGCACAATATCCTTGTTAGCTCGACAAGGGCGTTTGCAAAAGCTTTTTCCGAAACAGTCAGCATTACTTGGTATTCGTACGAAATTCGTCTGGGGAAAGGTATGCAGCGATTCATTCTCTTCGCTCACAATCGCATTCATCCTGACAATGAGATTTTCCTAAGCGTTTGCTAAAAATTGTGATCTACCTATCGTATGAATCTGAAGTGTTTTCAGTATTTGATCATTTCCAATTAAATTCCAGGAATTTTGATGTTCCTATCATAATTTTACAATTTCGGATGTTGAGATAGTGGTTTAATTTAAGGAAGCCGTCGGTCCGAATGTACCCGTAGGAGGCCGTATGGGTGCTCCAGAAGATCCGGAATTGCACACTTACGACGGAGTATATCGAGGTACACCAAGTAAAGGCGATAAGCCAATGCCTGAGTAAGTTATAGAAAGTTGCGTTCATTATTTTAGTTCATAAGTTCGTTTTCAACCTGCGGCTCATTAGTTGCGTAACCAGGACGGGATAGGCTGATGAATACATGTAAAAATTTTAGAAGCTGTCAATGCTTAGTGTTCTAATCGAACAAACGTACCTCCCTCTCCAGCTGATCGATCAAAATTTTGCATTTATTCGCAAGAAAAATGTTTGTCGCATTTCCCAGGACGGTTTTCTTCTCATATTACTCAGAAGTGTCATCGTTTTTTCGTGTTACTTTCGAATTTTTTAAACTGTTCATAATATTGGAGAACACTTATTCCCTTCGCGATAATTATTATCACCATTCTGTCATCGATAACAAATTGAGTAATATTTCAGCTACACATATCGAGAGCCAACTGCTGGCGATACGTACGTCGATCGTTGCGTTTCATACGCGATCAGTGCATGCCTCTGGTTCTGGTTCACCTATCACATGTATTATCATTCTGGTCACATATTCGTAAGTTTTCATTAATTCATTCATGCAGTGCCTTCTGAATGAGTCAAATTGAGTACTTGAAGACCGTTGTTGAGGGTTTGAATGTTGAGATTGCATGCACCTTGGATTACCCTTCATCATTCAATTTTCAGAATTCATTTCCCTTTAAATTGTCTGCATTTNTATTATCATTCTGGTCACATATTCGTAAGTTTTCATTACTTCATTCATGCAGTGCCTTCTGAATGAGTCAAATTGAGTACGTGAAGACCGTTGTTGAGGATTTGAATGTTGTGATTGCATACACCTTAGATTACCCTTTATCATTCAATTTTCAGAATTCATTTCCCTTTAAATTGTCTGCATTTGAATCTGAATTTTGGACGCTGATGCAGAATAATTTTCATTGCAGGGTCATTGGTATATGCCGTATTTGGAGGAATTCACTGACGAAGAATTGGGAATACCGCCTGACGACGCACCGGATCCAGTCTACTGGGGCCATCATAAAGAACCTTATGGAACTTATCGTTAGATGTTTTTATGAAATGGTCATGAATTCCCTGGTGAAATAGTCATGAATTTGATTTGGTGTAATTGTTATAATAGATTGCTTGAATAATTGATTGACTGTCGTTACCGATATTATTGTATATTTTCTAACTTTATAGAAGAATAAAACCCGATCAGTATTGGTTGATTGTGCAGTGTTGTATCATGCATTCTTTCTTCTTTATTATCAGTGGTGACGTGTTTGCAAAATGGGTGTGACATTCGATCAGCTGTCAGTAAGTGAACGACCTGATGAGGTATGATATGAATTTCGAGTTTCTTGAACAAAAATGGCTCGAGCTCGACTTATAGTCTGTTGGTATTCATCTGAGTTGTTGTGGTTACTAGTTTGAGT